GCCACTTCAACCGGGACCTAACCTCTTCGACCTTATCGCTTCCGCCATTTTTCTTATCTGCGCGATGGAATCGGTGAGATCGGAAACATGTGTCAATTTTCTTTTTCCTTAAATTTAGTTACGCACCGAATCGCGCTCTTTTACATTTAAATACGTTAAATGGTTTTTTGCTTATTTTCGAAAAGGGACCATTTCTTTATTTTTCGCTTCCGCCATTTTTCTTATATGTACGATGGAATCGGTGAAATATAAAATATAAGTCAATTTCTTTTTTGTTACACTTAGACACGTTAAATAGTTTTTTTACAAAGGGACCATTTCTCGAGCCATTTTTCTTATCTGTACGATGGAATCAGCGGGATCGGAAACGTAATTTTTGTGTTTAAGTCGAGTTATGTACCGAACCATGTTGTTCAGGTTTAGACACATCAGATAGATATTCCTCGTTTCTGAGAAATTGGTTAAGAGTGACTTATGCTGTTTCTGATCTCACCGATTCAGTCATTTCATGTTGTCACTTGATTTTTATTCTAGGAAGGTTAACATGTTCTCTAAAATTGCTACATTATTCTTCATCTCTTTTAAACGATCACTTCGCTTCAAAGTTACAACATTTCTCTCTTATTCCTTGATACAAACCAACAGAGAAAGATCGTGCGTGATTATGAAAATGGTCTAACTAAAAAACCTAGAAAAATTGAATTTATCATTTATTTCGCGTTGCATCGATCTTTTCACGGAAAAGATTTACAATTCAGAAAAACATTTGATCACATAATAGATCGATATTTTTCAAGCATATTCGCGATTTCTCATACTCCAATCATCTTCAATTTCCTAAAAACAAAGGGAAGCACGTAGTCCCGTTTTACATCTAACGAGTACCGTATGAATTTTCAGTGCCGTAATATTTAAGTACCATGAAATTTTCAAATCTGTCAAAAAGACAAGACGATTCACTCCTCTCTCCGAATATTTCCCCGAGGAGGACCAGCGAAAATCGCGAGTTATCGGGAAAGAATCGCGCAAACCCGGTGTCGCAATTACGGCTCAATTATGCGGGGTACTCGAAATCGTTTACCATTATTTCAGTAATTGGTACAAGCAATTAATCTCGCCGCACCCACGTAATCGCGTTACTCTCTGTCAGCGGGCGTCCGAGGCGAGCTGGCCGCGGTCGCCGCGCGTTTTCTTCTTCACGTTGAAAACGGCTATTTCCACTGTCGGCGAGGCGCGACAGGTGCTCGGTCCATGCCAACCAGGCAGAAACGCAGCCTGGCCCCCGATATGCCGCCTCGTGGAACACTACAATTCTCGGCTGCACAGATTTCGAAACTGAGAACCAGAACCGCCCGACGTGGGATATTTTCAATCGTCTCTTCTTTTTGCTGGCAGTCCGTTCGAGGGTCCGCGCGCCTCGTCCTGGCCGGACCGATAGGTGAAGGCGATCGAATCGAGTCGCCTCTCGACGTATTTTTGGGGCGGCCACGTGACGATACCGCGATGTTGCACGGGCAACAAAGTGCTCCACTTCGTTTCGACGAATCGACGTTTACCAATTATCCGCGACGAATCGCCCCGTTGCTTCGATATTCCTACGGAGATTCCTCGATTTCGAGAGTATGATCGCGGTCGAATTGAAATTGGCAAAAATTCGAGAGATTTCGAAGGAATTTATGTCACCGCCTTCACAAGATTGCCAATTCGATCGAATTTGATACGTTGTTCTGAGAAACTTTGTATTAATTATTATTAGCATTTTGTGGATTCGTCTAATCGTTACTTTGGATACCAAGATGTCTATATGAAATTCATCTCGACGGGTATTGATCGTTTTGCTCGAAACTAGCAAGCTTTTCGATGATCTGTAGGCGGGAGAGATTCTGCTATAGCCTGTGCGAAATCTGTTCGATGCTCAAGGTCACCGCGCAGTCTCTCCCTACTATATTCCTCGTTCTAACTAATAATTTTACACTCTAATACCGTTTCGTAGAACGTAAAAACCTTCGCCAACTAATCGTCCAAAAAAAAAAACACAATTTCCATTTAAAAAAAAAAGGGTGCAATTGTGTTAACCCTTTGTTGTCCTATGTCGCCAGCCTCGACGTAAGAATTTTTGTCTTCAGATATCGTCTAAATGATGATAAACCATTTTTTATGCATTAATATTACACCGAAACTTAGTATTTTATAACTAACATTACGCTGAAATATCGAAGTAAAGAGAAACTACATGGTACTTCCCAAGACTGACCAAATAATTGCAGACTAACTGGACCGTTTACACCGCAAAGGGTCAACCCATTTGCATCGTTTGAAGAAAATGAAAAATAGTCCCTTAACCCAAAATTTTACTACTCTTCTATTACTCGCAATACGAATGCTCGTACATACACGCCAACGAATGCAAATGGGTTAAAAGAAAAAGTCCACCGTCAAATACCATTTACTTCCATTCAAATACACTCGTATTTACAGTTTTACGGAGCACTCTAAACAGCGACGGCAGAAAGAAGAATTGGCCTTGAGAGGAGGAATAAACTTGGAAGGGACAATAGGCAGTGTAGGCTGGCGATATAAACGGCGTACCGGTGGAAGGAGAAAATAGCGAATTTGGTTAACCCAGTTCCCTAAACCTCGTTCCTGGCGCTCGCGACCTTTACATCTGTCGTTGATTCGTGCCTAACCCAGAGAGGCGACAAGAGAGAAGAGAGGTGTCTCCACCTCGAAAGCTACTCCACCTGCCACCGGACACCAGTGTGACCAGGCTGATCGTCCGGCAGCACGCCCACACGAATTGCTACTGCGTTATTTCGAGTGTTTTAGCCTTGGGTGGCGGCCAGAGAAAACTTTTGAAATATCGGGGAACGCTTGGCCTCTTCCTCGGCCATCAGGATTTCGAGATAAGTACAGAGAGTACCAACAAGTGGATCGCGAGTAGCTTGCAACGAGCACTCGCGACCCTTCTTTCGCGTGTGCAGTCTGCTTCCAGGCAAATTTTCACACTTAACCCTCTACCAGTCGAGACACCGTTTAAAATGAAATTCTATTCGTTTCGTTTTAATATAATAACGTGGAGTTGATAGAATTAGCGGAGTCTCTGAGACTCGACAGTAGAGGGTTAATATGCAAGTTACTCTTTTTTAGTACGATATACTGTACATACTTTGATTCGATCGTCGTCGACACATTTCTCAAATTCTCTAATTCTGTACTTTTGAAGCAACCTGTATTTTTCTTGTTTCAGAGGACCCACCGCCACCTGTTTCTTTCTGCTCGTTCACCGTCGCGAGGATAGCCGCACGATGTGATCGTTCCACTCAAAATTTGATTAACAATCACGCTTTCAGTCGAGAAACTAATTGTTACGCTACAATTCTGTTCTGTTAACGTTATCGTACGCTCGGTGGAGCTCGCTAATTGATATCCATATCTCGGTGACGCGCAAGTAACCACAAAGGTCTCAGCATTCGTACAAGAGCCTCACATTGTACAAATATAATTATTACAAAGAATTTCTTAAAACTCGCTACTCCTTCTTTCCTAGTTCTCCACAAAAAGCGCTCGACGTTACCAGAAACAATCGTACATTAAGAAACACAACAAGGATCGCTGCGCTGATCGAAAAGGTGTGCCAGGACGCGAGAAGCAGCGTGTGAGAAACTTTTCAAGGAATCAGAACGGCGCTCTCGGCGACGTCACGGGCGTCGTCTGGTGTTATTTGGCAGGGAGCGATCGTGACGCGTACGACGAAAGGCAAAAAGCTTTCTAGAGTTGTGCAAACACGTGTGTGCACGTGGGGAAAAAAGGCAGGATGGACGGGAAGAAGGTGCGTGGCGATCGGCAGCCGTGACGAGAGATAATTGGACTTTTCGCGGGGAGGGCCAGAGATTTTGGCAAACGGCTGGACGCTTCCTCGAGAAGCGAAAACGAGCCCTGGCCGTCGTCAAACCAGAACGAGAAATAATAATAACAGCTCACGCAAAGATTCCACTCGCGATTTCGATCTAACATTTAAATAGACTCTGCAAGCTGATGTCCGCGAACGAACGTTCCCGCGCGTTCCAAACGGAGAGAAAGATGGATCGACGACGATCTTTCTCGCGATGGAAAGCTGGGTATCGTAAACTCTCTCTGTTCTTCCTTTTTTCACGATCGTTCACGCGTGTACAGGGCGATCCACGCTAATGGAACAAGTCGTACCTCTTTCCTGATTGCGATTAAAAAAAGGAAATGGAGAAAATCGGCGAATGGTTCAAAGATTACATTTTCAAAAGATATCGATATTTTAAATAAACGTTTCCATGGCAAGCTCGTAAAGATATTTATTTAAATATCTCACCAACTATCATTTTCTCCTAACTTTATCCCAACACCTTTTAAATTCGATCTGTGCAAAAAGGAAAAATATACGTTTACACTTGAAGAAATGGTGCAATGTTGCACTCGCGAAGAAAGTACGGTCCTGAAAATTTTGCTGATTAGACAAATGTTCTAATTACGCGGATCACCCTGTACAGCTCGGAGAAATTGCGCTGCTTGAATGAAACTCGCGAGCCCGTTCCGTCGTGTTTTAGCTGGACGTCAGTGGGAGTCGGTATTCCTGTCCGCCATTCTGGAGAACGCGCTTTTCAATTCTTTGATGTAGATCCGTTTCTTTGGTGAACTTTATTTATGTACATTGGGTTGTTTCGCCGGCGTTGCACGATGTTTTATGACGTTACGCTGATCGTTCCTGTGCAGTTTATTCGTCGTTTGTGGTTTTTAATTACGCAGAGATATTTCTAGCGGAGCGTTGAAAAACATGAAATTCTTCGTTCAGAGTTGAATTTGGTTAATTCGTATTTCAAGTTGGGAACGTTAAGCGATAGGAAGATTTATTGGATATTTTAACTTAAATGCGTCGTTTTTATTTCGAAGACATTTTGTCGTATAAAATAAATTGGAAATAATTCGTCCAGATATTACTTTTCGTATTTTGATGATTTAATGGTTGGCGATTGTATAGTTACGTTCATGATTCGGTAACGAGTAATGGTAAGTTTTACGAGATTGTTGGGTTTATGCAGATTTTAGATACAGATTCTTTATCATCCAGGTGAACATACTTCCAGTCAGCACGATTCCACTCCTGCAATTCAAAATTGAAAATACGCAATTTTAAGGATAAATATATATATCTCCTACCTAATGTCCACTTCTATTAAACTTTCTCTGTACAATTAAAAAAGACAAAAAAATATAAGTTACATAGTTGGTGAATGAAATTAGCGCAAAGGTAATTTACGTTAATTGACAAAGTGGTTTTCACAGTTTTGTAAGTATTCCTCGAAACTAAATAAAACCACGTGATTGATACACAATTAAATGATTTACGTAAGCAAAAGTTTCGAAATGGTATTAACGGTCATCGAATAGGAGAGAGAGAGTGGATTTGGTGTATTTAACGATGGGTGTCGCGATGGTTAGCTTCGCAACAATTGGCACCGTGATCACCACTTATGCATCTACGGCAATCTTCGTGCTAATTAGAGATTCTGTGGGCACGCACACATCGTTCGTTAGAAGGGCCATTAATTTGGTGGACGTAACGCGGATAGCCTCGTTCAGGCGGAGACACGGCCATCGAATTTAGGGCTGACCGGCGTCGAGACCGAATTTCAATCGCGATCGTGTCACGGCTGTGCAGAACCTCTGCCGAATTAGTGCAAATCCGAAAATGGCCACGAACGACGCGGCCAAACGACCATCGGGAGCCTCTTGCTCGAGGACGAAACCGCGAATCACTTGCCCGATTTTCTTTAGTAACAATGATTAATCGCGGGCTTCGGATGGGCCGCGAGATTTTTGGATCGAGCGATGACGGTGGTTGAATTATGTCGAATTATTTCACTCCATGTCTCGTAATAGTGACTCACTCGTGAGACGCGGAGGAAGGTAATGTTAATTTTAATTAGAGTTCCAATTTAGACGATGCAGAAATACTCGGTTGATCTTCTCGCGTCTTTCTTTCCTTTCAACTTTCGAGCTTTCGAATTTTCCATTTCCAAATTTTCATATATTCTAACTTCGAAATTTTCGAATTTTCGTAAATTCAGACATTGAAATTTTCACATATTCCAACTTTCAAATATCGAATATTTTCCAAAGTTTCAATTCTTCGAAATAGAGAAACAACTTTAGATCAGATTTACACTGAAAATTCAATTCACGTCTAGCTGAAAACAACTCGAACCTAGTTAAACTTAAGCAGATTATTACAAAAATTTCAAAAGAAACAAATATAAATAGTATAGAAATTCTTGAACGTACCACAACAAGATGCTACCGAGTGTCCCATGCTTTATGCGATTGTACCGCGCCACCTGAAAGTCTTTGTTGCTCTGGAAGTGCTTCAGTATGCGTAACGCGCTGCAACAGAATTTTTCAAGCGACCACGATTCATAATGCATTAATAATACATGGATAAAAATAATTTCGTATCGATTACATTGTGCAACCTGGCCTGTTAGACACGCTTTACAGTGTAGCTTGATAATTAATTTTACCCCGTTCAATTTTTATTCTATTCTAAACATCAACATAACCTCTTTACCACTTCTCCGTTATTCCATGGAAATGTAACACGTATCACCAACACGAACAAACTACCCTTACTTCGAAAATTTCAAAACTAAAAAATCTGAAAATTCAGTTCGTCGAAAATGGAACAAAATTTTTGTCCAATTCGAAAGTGTGACAAATAACGCGAAATGGTAAATCCTTTCTCCTCCTAACCTCTAATTAGGTACGCGAAGTGTTCTCAACACTCGCAAAATAAATAATTTATATCTTTCTATCATTACTCGTAAGATTATTCAGTTTTATCGAAGAACAGTAAGAATTATGCGAAAGAACGATAAAAATTTATATACACGCAGTTACGTAATTTCGTATCGCGTAGTTAATTAAGAGTCGATTCATCCTTGCCTCGAATTATTTTTCACGAATCTCTACGAAAAATCGATACGGCGATAAAAGATTCTACAATCAAATTTATTCGATGAAGATTGTGACTTTGGTTCATTTAACTCGAATAACTCGATACACGCGCCGGTACAAAGGTTCGTTGGTAGAAAAGCTACACACACGTGCGCGCTCTCTCACACTCGACACACAACACGATTACGTTTGGAACAATGCCAGGGGCGAGGAAAATCTGACGCTTATAATATATGAACGCGTGGTGCGAGCCGCGAGTGAATTGTGCCGGCCGCTTAACGCTTCGAAAGAAAATGCATCGGGCTCGTGAAAATGCATACTTGATAGCGGGGCACCAAATAATTCATTTCGATCTAATTCGAGCACGATGAAGTCAGCTGATTCGCGCGCACCCCCGAAACGCGTGGTCGAACGCGGTTCCGTTTCGTGCTGCCGAGCAAAGTTATTGTTTCACGGTTTCGAGAGTCGTTTCTCGAACGTGCAAGACTATTCTTTTGTGTCCTTCGATTATACCGATTCGTAAAAGTAAAGGGAGAAAAATATTTCTGTATGTGCATCGGTGATTATAAAAGTGACCAGAATCGAAATTCTGGAAAAATCGACTCTACCATTTATTTTCTATTACCGTTGAAAAATATTATTTAAGGAAAGTATGTCAGTCACGTAATTTTTACAGTAATCGACACAAAACTAAGTAAAACTTTGCTATGTAATTAAATTTTTTAATAATCTTATTTATTTTCTGAATATGTTCGTATATTATTGTAACGTAATTAATTTTCACGTAATAATTATGTGACCCATATGTGTCGACGTAGCCTGAATTCGTTCGATTTCAACGAGTGCTGTGGGGGCTCGTCGTTAAGTGGCAAACGGAACAATAAACGCCAGGACACGCGGGAAAATTTACGATTTGAAACGGTGGGGTGCAGCGAATTTTCTAACGTCGATGCTCACTTACATAAGTGCTCATTGTTACGACAGCTCGTGCGAATCGAAATGTAAACGGTCTTTTAATGGATCCACGATATCATAAGCTCGGCGAAGGTTTGTGGTTTCAAGCTGTCTGAATTAAGGAAACGCGATCGATTGTTCATTCGAGCCGACCGGAGAAATAAACCTCGCGTAAGAGTTGTTGGTGCAGGTTAGAATGGCTTGTCGATACGCCCGTAAAACAGATTCATCGTGGTGTGATATTGACTTCTTGTCACGAACTATATTCCTTCCGCACGTTCAACAGTCTCTCTGATCGAGTGTTTGTGTCATCGATGTGTTTTCCTCGTGTCACATTATCCCTGATATACTGTGTTCCATTATGAAACAGTGTAGGTACGCCGCTACTTTCACTTTATACGTGCGCACTGTGAAATATAGTGGTGTTCGACGTATACAAAGCGGAGTGAAGTCAGCCGCCTGTGATTAATGTTATTTTTGCAAATATATTTTCGTAGCTAGAACAGCGTAATGTATCCGAAATTATCGTTCATGTAAGAACACCAACGAGGTCCCGAACGTTGTTCAAGGGATCTCTTGGGTCGTTCACCTTTTCCACCGATATTTATAGTTTTCCGGCTGATGCTCTACTGACAAGACGTACGATTATAATTAATCTGTTTCCTGGTAATGCTATATCGGTCTCGTTGCGCTTCGAATACAAACCAGTAAAAAAAAAAAAAAGATTTCATGCCTCGTTCTGCATGTGTACTTTATTTAAACCTCCCGATGTCAACGTCTCTCTCGCTTGTTACCGGTCAAACGAGAAAAACAAACTAGACATAACCTCTAAGCGTAATTCCGCGCGGAGACAATGCGCGTTGAAAATACCAACGGCAGATTAACTAGGACAAATTTTGGCAAAACGAAAATGCGGTTACGTCATATAAAATCACGTGCATCGATATCACACATTGTAAGTGCAATGATGAGTATACGTGGTTGCCCTTGGATAAGATCCAAAATAGTTCCGGCACCTTCCTTCGAAGCAGCTTCATACTAAAATACCAACTGCGTACTTAATACCTAATTATATTTGCTTGATGCGTGAAGTGAAATATAACGGGAGAAACAAAGGACAGTAGAAAGGCCTGTTGTGTTTTACAAGCTGGAAATTGCAATGTGTCACAAATTTCACCCGGATTCACCGTATGTGCCCTTTTCTTTTTCTCTTTAAACCCGTCTCATTGTTTTGTTAACCCGAATACCGCGATGTGTAAAATGTAAAATACGAGTTTCTGCAAGTCTGCTTCGTGTCAGCTTGACGGCCAGCTGAGGAGATATTTATGCTGGACGACAACAAAGTTTAAATTCACTTTACGCTAAATGAGTAGGTCGCTTGAAAGTATCTGGGTGCGTGTGCTATTATTCGTGGATCGTCAATTGTATCGAATGACTTGATAATAATATATCCAAGAATCGATTGAAACGAGATATTTTTTATTCGATGAATTAATTTAAAATTTGTCGTTGCGTAAAAACTTATTGTAAAATAGTCATGTTGCATATAGTCTAGTAAAAAAAAACCACACTGATAAGAATAAATGTTCACTAACCTACTGTGATTAGCGACTGCCAGTAAAATGCCACTTCGAGAGAAAGACATTACATCGACCGTGCCGAAACATGAAAATTTCTCGAGCAACTATAGTAAAGTAATTAGCAGTCAGAGAAATAATACTAACAATACACTTTCGATAATATAAGTTAGTAATTTTAGGATACCTGTTTGGTGTCTATATACGGTGAGTTTACCTTCACGTAAAGCCACTCTGGTCTTGTTACCGTTGGATCTGGTCCGCCGAATTTCTAAAGCGTTCGTGATTTAATTTAAGTATTATTTGATGTCGTGTATCAATAAATATATCCTGCTCACCATATACATTTCGTTGCCTCTGGTTATATTTACAGAATTTACAAAATCTTTTATTGCACTCATTAATTCAGAATGTGTCACTGCTCTTTCTTCTAAACCTCTAAAAATAATCAAATTTATAATCGTCTAATCGATAAATACAATTATGTTATAATATGTTAAGTGTCAAACATACTGTCCATATTTCTGTATAGAAAACATGTGTCCCATTTTTACGAATATATATCCAGTACAGTAAGCATCCCATCCTGCATTGTGGGCATGCTGAAAACCTAAAATCAAATTTGAAATGAGAAGAAAAGTATTACAATAGTGTCTAACTAGTGACTATCAAAATTACCTAAATTTTTTGTGCTAAATTCAATTTGTGGTGAATTAAATACTAAGTGTTTCCCTTGTTTTGATGTGAAGAATTCATATAAAAGACTCAATGAATTTTGTTTCCAGGTTACTTAAAAGAAACATTTAATTTAGACATCACTGACTTACTTTTTATCTTGTTTTATCAGTATTTTTTACCTTCATCCCTTTTAAGTAATTTTCGTAATTTAAAACTTAATAATTTAGTGTCATATATTTGTGGAAATAATGAATGTATATTATCTTTGAATTCTTTATAGGAATCTAAAATACATCACATAAATATATCACATGCTCTTTTCCACATTATATGTAGCAGTAAAATGTACCTGTTTAATACCTGGCAGTGGTTTATAGAATTGTTGATAGATAAACATTAAATCCAAAAGCATATTATGCCCCACTATTGGTTTCTTACAAGAAGATAAGAGTTTGAATACTTTTGAAAATCCTATACATGTCTTTAACAATATATCTTCTATATTGTTATTGGCATGTTTTTTCAAATAGATTTGAGTTTTCTTTGGTACTTTTACAATATCTAGCTAAAAAATATAAACGATTGCATATAATGTTTTAATGATATTAAAACAGAGATAATAAAGAGTACCATATACACACTGATTCACGCTTCCAGAGAGTCCAAATATTATCAAAGCTACTCCTTAACTCTTTGTGCAACACATATTGCAAAAAAGGATTAGAAGTTTCCACTTTAAACAATGCCTCATTTGAGTCGTTTGTAATCCAATCAAAAGCTTTTTTTTTGGATTCTTTCAAATAGTCTTCTTCTTCATACGTTAAATGTTCCAAACTATTTAATATATTCCCTTGTTCTATGTGCTCCTTCAGTAGTTTTTCTTCTATCTCATTCAGATATGAAATACCTTCACTTATGACCTACAAAGCATTTCAAATTTCCTACATACGTTTCATATTATCAAATTAACAAAATTTACTATGTAAACATATCTAGTTATTACTCTAAGTGTATCATTGACGAATCTTGATAACATACTTTACTAAAGTTAGAATTATGCCTATCCAAAAATTCTAAAGCTGTTGCTTGACATGAGAATTGTCTGTTATTAAATGGTACAGGCCTTGGAAACAAGTGAAAATTGAAACACCTTGCAATGTATGCATTCTCCTCAGGATCATGCCGAAAGGTTGTAATACCAAATTGAATTATTATAAATGGTCGAATATTTCTCCTTAAGGTATTATAACGATCTTCGAGTGTATCGAAAAAACTGAAGCAGAAATGATAAAAATGACAAAAGATACACTTAAAATTACTGTCATTTCTAATTCTCGAGTATACTTAACCTATGTTTCATGTCTTCCTCGGTATTGATACCCGTAAATTCTGCATCTATGCTAATGAAAGATGCATTGTCTATAGCATCAGACAAAGTCGGGTACAAATGTTTGAAGTTTGTTTTCGAAACTTCAATCATAGCGAATACTAATTGTTCACGTGCACCGTAATTCTAACCTCAAACAACTGGTCACGTAAATTAAGTGAACCTAATTTGAAAAGCATTCATAGTTCCATCGATCAAGTTTTTCCATAAACAATGGATTTTTTAATTAAATTTAATGCAAATTTACGTATTTGGAAAATTCTTCCTTTTTGTAAATTCGCAGTTTCAAAGATTACTTGAATCATTCAACTGCACTCAAAACAGAAATAAACTTCCGAACACGAAAGCGTAAAATCGCACATGCGCGCAATCAGAATTATAAATCAATAAACGAAGCGATTGAAATGTAAATAATAATTTTTCTTATTTGCTGCTTTAATCTGTAATATCATTTATCATCGTTTCATTAATTGGCGAAATGTCCACTGACGATAATTGATCGGTATAGTTTTGTCCCTATTAAATTTTAATAAATCAAATTAAAGAAACTCGTTAATGCATCAAGTGTACGCATCACGCTTAAAGTATACGCTACTTTAAATATTCCTATTACAAAACAAAAATTGCAAGCGTGTAAGATTGGAAGTATAATCGATCGTAATATCTCGAAAACGAACAAAACTATCTAATTCATTGAAAACTAAAAAGATCGACACAACCATCTCGACCATTTCGATTAATCTATTCCACTTTCCCCAGTGTATTCTAATCGCCAGCAAAGATTCCATTCGTGTGAAATTGACAGGTACTTAACGATAAATACGATTTTAACACGCAACCGGTTAAGATTCGGTTTAATAATTTTTCTTGTATTACAAACTTTCTTATTGAACGATTGTTAACAAGCATCATATCACGAAATTAATCAAAGCGAAACGAGAAAAGAAAAACAAGATATTAAAATATTTTCTGCCTTAAATTTCGTCAATTCTCACTTACGATTATGCATTTCCTTGTATCAATAGATAAAACTCCTTCGATAACTTTTTGCCAAACGATATACCGTTAAACTAACTCTAAAATAAACTAGTCTACCGAATGAATTACACAGTACCGAATAATTGGCGCGTTTCAAGTCACAGCACCGCGGAAAGGCAAAATTACATCCATCGCGTTCCACCGTGTCATTAACATTTCTTTTTTTTTCGACCTGCAATTTTTTCCCACCGATTCAGGCCGCCGACAAGTGCTGCAAGTTTCCGTCCCGTAATAATCGTCGCTGTCTGCACCTAAGTCAGCTGTTATCACTCATATCGAATAACCGTGGACAGTTTTCGCGTGAGTCTTGTTTTGCAAAAAGAAAAGGCGACGGCGGCGGGATCGAGCGCGTGTGCTAAGAAACGTGGCAAGCGTTCCCGCTGTTGAAAGATCTTTCTTTTTAATCGGGAAACAACTCTCTCCCTGGCAATGAACTTGCCGCCATCGTGCTAGTGTAGCCGCGACCACGAAACCGGCTAGTTCGGCCTGTTGATCGTTTCGTTTCCTCGCTGCCTGTTCCGTCATCGCTCAACTAACCAAACTACGACGACATTCAAATTCCCAGCGATGTTCTTCAGGTTCGCGATATTGGTCGGCCTGACCTCCGTTGTAGCGACCATAATCTACCTGACGCCTGTACCAGGTCAGTATCACTTCCTCCTTCTTTATTACATAGAATTATACAATTGAACTGGATTTGTCAAGATCGACGGAGAATTTTCAAGTAACGTGTTATGAAATTTAAATAGAATTACCAGAGAGTGTTTTTTTTTAAAGGAAGTACGAAGATATAATTAAGAACAGTTCAAAACATGAATTTTGATAATGTTCGATTTCGTGCACTTGACAAATTTTTTTGATACGGTAATTTAGTTTAATATTGATTTAAAAAAAAAACATTGATTCGACGGTATAGTTAGTGATTGTGTATTTCAGTTTGTCAGAATTATTCAAAATTGGCCGAATTAAATTGAGAAAAGTGTCGACTTGAATTTTCTTCTAGAGATTGTATTTTCAACTGAAGGATTATATCGATATAAAGAGGAACGTAATATGGAAAAGATTTAACATTGAAGTAGACGAGGTGAACGACCTCGAATCAAGATTGCGCACCTCTTAGCTATCTCTGCGTGAAGATATTCATCCGCAAGACCAATATTATAGTCAAAGATGCAACAACCGTTATGTATGCTAGATATTATTCAACTTCCACCGCGTCATTCTACTTTATCTGCAATCACCGTCCCTTCAAAAAAATTCTAACCTACAAAATTTTAAACTAAAAAATTACATTTTTATTATTATTGAAGATTTTCTAAACGAACGAAAGAAATAACGAAAAAATGAAGTCTAAAATGTGCTATTAAAAGAGAAATAAAATATTGCCAACGTAAATGTCTAAATTGAAGTGTACACTTCGTGTATTCTCGAACGACCTCATAAACTCGCTATTTTCCTCATACACTACTCCTGGTCACTAAAAGTCTTATCTGATTCATGGATCAATAAACATTCATGGACCAGCGATCCATTACCACGGGTCGAACCTTATACACAGATAGTCCAACATATATACATTGGTCGAAACATTAAACTCCTGACGAAAGTTGCACGTGAAAGCGCACACTTTCTTCCGCTTTTGACGCTCGCCCAGTTTCCGCCATGATCTCGACCTTCTCACTAATTGTCATTAGACAACTGAAATTACCTTTTTTTTGGTCTTGCTTTTTTAATCATTTCATCTGCACGCGATTATTACGTTCTTCTAACGTTTCACTTTCACCCTCGAGCAACGATAATCGAGCGGCCAAACAAAATTCGAGAGTGTATTGTACGTCTGTATTACCTGCAGAGTGTTGGACGGAAGTTATTTCGAATTAATTTGAATTTTATATTTTATAATAATTTTATTTAATTTTAAATTTAATTTAATTTATCGTTTGCAATTCATAATATACGAATCGAATTCGTTAATAATTTTTACTCAATGTACTCTCGAATTTTCTTTCAAAAATTAAGTACTGGACACCGATAAATTCTTGAAAGTTTAAAGGAGACCGGTAACGTTTTAAGAACTGAGAAGGGAGGAGGTGCAAAAGGAGGAAGACGAAATTTCCCTCCGAAATGAACGGAAAATATTTATTTCCAATAAAAAAAAAAATAACCAATCAAATCTTTTTGCTTCGTTTATCATTCGAATAAACAAGATCATACACGCTCGCACGTAATTATTTACCCATCTGTTTCTACCTTTACTAAAAAAAAAAATCCAACAAATTTCTCAAAAGAATTACATTTCTTCTTGCAAATCCTCCACTTCTTCCTTATTAAAATGAAGAAAACGTCGTGAATAAACGTACGTACAAACCGATTCTGCAACATCCTGAAATCCTCGCGTTCTCAACTTACGTCCGCAAAAATCACGCGAAGAAATTTTTTGCGCGTGCAGAACGGCGAAAGGTCGCCGGGTAGATTAATCGACTTCTCCCAGCCGGTAATACCTGGCAATAAATCGCCGCGGATCCTCCGCGCGCGACATAATTAGAGGCAAGAAATTGAAACAGGAAACCTGTTTCGTGTCGCGTCGTCGAGGAAAGTAAGTAATTCGTCCTTTGTTGCGTAACTCGACGAAAAAGAAAGCGTCTCCTTCTTTTCTCTTACCTGTGGCGTTTCCCTCGTAGGAGGGCCACGTTTACGAACAATAAAGTTCCCGTTTAATGGTCCGCGCGAACAAAGTCGGAGAGATTGCATTCCAAAGATGGCGAAACTCCGTTTTATCCGTTGAGATCGAGAATATCGCGTGTGTGAAAAAAAAGTTCGGAAAAGCTGAGAGAAAAAAAAAATCGCGCATGCACAACGCCGGGAGAAAAGTGAAAGCGAATAAATATTGCAACGGGATCGACTACTACTCGAACAACTCACGCATGAACGCCTGCCGATGTATTTAATTCCTTATTG